GAATAATTCTAGTATTGGTAAGTAATGTATTCATATATATAATTATTTTTTATCAAAATAACATTCATTTTTGACACAAGGACACAGCACTTTTGATAACCAAACAAATTAGTTAACCTTGGCTTGAGTGTTTCCTTAGCCTATTCATATGAATATGTACCCTATATAATTTATCACTCACACGAAGTTACTTTTGTTTCGACAATAACTAATTTTTAAGTTAATAAGAGTATTGTTAATTTATAAAATAAATATTACTCATAATAAGATTTTTTTATAAATATCTTCCTTTTATTCTTCAGCCATTTTCTGTCCACTACTGAACATAGACCTCTTCTATATCTCTCCATGATGTCCTGTCCTATGCTATTTGAAAATACCTATTTCCTGCATACGTTATCTCTTCTCGAGTCTTCCGACGCTACATTATCTCTGTATTGTTCTCCAGTGTGCCAGTTTAATTATTATCTGGTTTAATCTTGCCAAGTTAGATGTCCTATCCATTGCCATTTCAGTTCTGCAATATGTTCTAACACATTCTTTGATAGTAAAGGGGCAGCACGGGAACGAGCACAACTCTTTACGTGATATTTCACGTCCTGCGTCGAATGCCACGTCATTTCACGTGACATTTTACGTTCTGTGTCGAATGTCACATAACTGTCACTTCCTGCGTCGAATATCACGTTCTCTTAGGCACTGTACGGAAAAGAAGAACAAGAATGTTCGAGCGTTGACATGGCTTCTGTGTCACCAACGCTTTCATTTGACACCCCACAAAATCAGGCCAATAGCAACGAAGATACGTTTTAGCGCCCATTTGACAATGCCGCCATCTTTTGTTTTTTGTCTCAACATATTTCCCGCCTTTTCCCCGTTCCAACGAGCCCTCGTACGTCACGATCCGATATGCCGTCGCGCCTCCACCACGAAAAGAGCCAATATGAGCAGAATGAACCTTAGCGATTTCCCATGTTAATTTCCATAAGAGTTGTGCTCGTTCCCGTGCTGCCCCTTTACTTTTGACGGATTTCTTCATTTATTTTTCTGTCTCTCAGACTAATACTGAGCATTTTCCGTTAGATCTCGGCTGTTCTTTTCTTTGCCTATTTTTATTTTAGGTTTGAAATATTAACCAAGAATATAAAGAAAAAAAAAAGAGCCTGAGTAGTTACGCCTAATACAGACAGATTCTATTTCTTTTGGATCACTGGTTATGTGCCCTTCTTGATTTCTGCATAGATTTGTTCGGGGTTTGTATCCTTCTTTTAAATTGCGTAGATATATGTACGCCTGTCTTATGTTGTTGCTTTGAAGATTTTCTTTCATTTTCTGTATATTGCCGTTTTTGTATTTTCTTTTCACTGTTCGGCATATTTTATCGGCCCTCCGTCTTGCATCTTGTTAACTTGCCCTTCTTTCTCTGGTTCTTCTTTCCATATATTTCTTGTGTTCTTCATTTCTTTTCTGTATGGTGCCGACCTTTACTTGCACTCTTAATGCCAAAGCTCTGAGATTCCTCCAACTTGAATGCTGAAAGTCATAATGTTGTAACTGCCTTATCAGTTGCAACAACATTTGCTACAATCAGTCTACGCAAAATGGCAGACTGGAAAAAAATGTAATGGAATGAAATGGAAAAATCTATTAAAAAGGTAGTAAAAACAGAGGACAGACGAAGAACCATCAGCTTGCTGTATTAATATGGGTATTCATTTAGAAGACGAAGAAATGAGTATAATGCTCTTCTGGAATGAAACTGTCAGGCAAAGGGGGTCTAACAGATAACATTCGTAATGGATATGCACATCAAGAAGAAGATGGAAAAAAACAATGTTATTAACATTTATAAATTACTTTTAAAAAAGGATTTTTGCGATTGTCTTGGTCAATTGTTTATGTATTTTAATTTATAAATTAACAAATGAAAGAACTTATTCAGATCTACAACTTTTATTTCAATCATTTTTGTCTAAAATGTATAAGAAACATTTTATAGGTGAAAAATGATTTTTTTTTAATTTTAGGCTTGTTTAAAAAAAAACAAAGCAAAATCAGATGTATGTTTTCATGGATTTGTCATAAGCTACTCCTCATATCCCTTTAAAAACATTTAAAAATAAGATTTTTATGTGAAATCGATGATTTTTTCACAGATAGACTGAACTAAAATGGATCAATGCTCATACATTAAGCATTCTTAATTACATGTCCTCCATACAGCCATTATGTTTCATTAATATCCAAATAAATTTCAATACTAATATAACATATAGTGCCATATTGTTAGTTATAGTTTCCTAATTGTTTTCAAAAACCTAATTATAATGGATTTTTTATTTTAATTTAAAATGCAATAAATTTTATTCATGTTTTACTCACGCTATTATTGTTTTGTTCATTATGTTAATTCATTCTATCATGTAAATTCTAACTAGTTTATAGTTTAACAAAAATTTATAACGCCATAAAAGAAACAACCAAAACACAAAAATTACTTTAATACATTAAGTTATTATATTTCAGGATTAAACAGGATAGAATATACAAAGTATGTCAGTTTTAGTAGTTGGTTTTACTCCCTACTCAGAGAGATTGATGATGATTCAATTGCAGACATTCTCTAAAAAGATAAACATTGTCCAAATATATGCACCAACTGCTGACAAAGATGAGACCGAGATAGAGAGGTTCTACCTCTCTATCTCATCTTATCAATCTTATAGAGAGGATGAACCTAGATATTTATTCCTGTTTCATCGACTTCGAGAAGGCATTCGACAGGGTCGGACATGAAAAACTAATAGAAGTACTGAGAAACAAAGATATAGACAGACGAGACTTAAGAATCATTATCAATCTCTATTGGAATCAAAAGGCCAATATAAAGATAGAAGAACAAAAGTACGAAAATATAGGTATAAAGAGAGGAGTAAGACAGGGCTGTGTTCCGTCACCATTACTGTTTAATGTGTACAGTGAAGCCATATTCCAGGAAGCGATAGCGGATCTGGATGATGGAATCTCTGTAAACGGAAGAATAGTAAATAACATAAGATTCACTGATGACACCGTTATAATGGCAGACACCCTGGAATTGCTACAAGAATTGGTAAATAGAATTAATGTTTATTGCATTAGATACAGACTAAAAATAAATAAGAGAAAAACTAAATTTATGATTGTCTCAAAAACACAACATGGAAATGAAAGATTAATGATAGAGCAAACCCAAATAGAAAAAGTAGAGACATACAAATATTTGGGAACCTAGGTTGATGACAAAAATGACCAAAGCAGAGAAATCAAAGTCCGAATTGAAACTGCAAGGCAAGCATTTGTGAAAATGAAGACAATGCTTACCAACAGAGACCTTCAGTTGCATCTCAGATTGAGGGCTCTAAGATGTTAGATATTTTCTATCTTACTATACAGAATGGAAGCTTGGACATTGAAGAAACAACACATAAGAAAAATAGAAGCATTCGAAATATGGTGTTACAGAAGAATATTAAAAATTCAGTGGGTTCAAAGGATTACCAATGCTAAGGTACTACAACATCAAAATAAGGAGATTGTTAAATTATAGTCTTGGTCTGAATTCAGCCTTATAAAATGGACTGACTAAGAAATGCTAACTTTAGACATGCCAGGCTTGCCACTTTTCAAGACCTTTTAATCTGGCTAGTCTAGCTCCTCTAAACATCTTTGTTCAGAGTGGATGGTAGTTGTAGGTATCCAACATCAGTATACATTTAATGATAAACAAGAAGCTGGAGTATTAGTCAAATATACAGGTTTGATTACTATTTTTTAAAAGTTTTTTATGCACTTAATGGTCAAAGTAAGTCTACTGGTCATTAGAGTTGTCACAATTTTTCAGATTCATCTCTATTCCTACTTATTTCTAGCTTTTGTTTTCCAGTTACTAGTTACTTGGTTCATATATTGTATTTTTAGCCACCCCTTGGGTAATTTTTCCCAATAACACTTGGTTATTGAGTTATGATTCTTGCTGGTTTAGAGGGTTCCACACACTCCTTATGACCCACTCATTACACTCATCTGTCTTTCAAACTTAATCAACTGTACCAAATTAGATTATCTATAAGCATGATATTTTTGAAATTTTAGTATCTCCTTCACATGCCATTCAAACATGCCAGCATGCCAAATATTGCCTTCTGTGATTGATCTGATTTTATCAATAATCTATGAGACCCTAGCCAATTGCTACTGAACCACAAACTCATAAAACAATAAAAATAAAGAGACCAGACATACTGTAATTGAGATACACTTAGAATCTATTTGCATAATGAAACAGGAAAATAGACATAAATTGATCTATCCAAAAGACTTAATATGAAAGTTAGCAGTAAACTCTAGATACACAAAATTTCAATTGGTCAACAACAGATAAGCTGGATAAGCTAACTGTAATGGTGAAGGAGCTAAAGTTTGATGACACAGGTAGTGGGTAGATTTGCTATCAGGGATCACATGATAATGAATTTATCACCAAAACTATGTTATGTATTAAAAATTGAGTCATAATTTAAAGGTTTTAAAAAGATATTGTTAATGATAATAAAAAAATACAAGTTTAGCCCCAGAATATTGTAGCAATTTCAAGTATTAAATTTTTTATTTTATTTTTAAAGCAGCAATTTTACAAACCCATTTTCCCATCAGAAATATTTATATTCATAGCAAATGGTCAAGAAATGCTTATATGTATTAATTTTAACTTGGTATTTATATTCCTCATAAATTGGAACTTTCTATGCAAAGCATAATATTAAATCAACAAAAATAAGTAAAATTTGGTCATAGTTCATTTTTATATTCATAGACCTTTTATTTAAAGGATTGAATCCAAAAACTGGACAAAAATTCAAATTTTTAAAACAAGCCACATAAAATATGTTTAAGGTACTTCGGAACGTTGATTCTACAATCTAAACAAATTACATTTTTTTAAATAATTAACAACTTACTATCATGTCCTTTTGAAGAGACTTCATCCAGGAATGATTGTCTTAAATCCTCAATCTCTGTTTTTGATACTTCAATGTGTTCTCTAACCATTTTAGATATCCGTTTATTTCTAAATTAAATGTATTCTGAATAACAATTATTATTATCACACGTATTCACTCATTTACTGATTATTATAGAAATGAACTTTGTTTTCAAGTACTTCTACTCTTTACAAGTATAAAAAACAAACAAAAAACATAAAAGTGTCAACCCATCCCCTTCTATCATAGTCAAATTGAACTGTCAAATTTCAGAAACACCAACACAACAATAACAAAACGAGATAGGTTATTTGTATTTACCAAACATAAACAGATGTACTTTATTGTAAACCATATATGTGTAAACATGAATTGAACAATGAACTTGAAACGGTCATAGACAGAGTAGTTTTTGATTACATAAATAAAACATTTGAATAAAAACAATTAATTACAAAAAATAAGGGTTATAACATAGGTTCTACATAACTGTATTCTAGGTTCTACATAACTGTATTTTATAGGAATAATTTTTAATATATTTCTAATTTCTAATAAGAACTCTTTTTAACGCTTAAATTTCTAGCTCAGATATCAATAATTTCCGAGATGGAAATCAAAAAATATTAAAATATTTTAATTTTAGTCTAATGCTAATTTTAATCTAGAGGTGCTAATATAGACTTTGACCGTTGATTGAATAACCCTTTGGGTTATTAATCAACGCTTTAACCACTACCTTGTAAGAACAAACCTCATGGCTCGTATATCAAACGCTAAGAAGGGCCAGAGCACAAAATCTACGAAATATAATACTGATGTGCTAAAATCTGAAGACGCTAGAGATAACTACAGGAAAATTTTAAATGAAGAGCTGACAAGAATCGACGAAAATTTAAGTATAGAAGAACACTGGACCAAATGCAAGGAAGCTATCCATACAGTGGCTAAAGGCTTTTTAAAACCTAACCAGGCTAAATTAAACGAAGATTGGTTTGACGAAGAATATAGATCCAACCAACAGAAAAATGAGGCATATAAGAAGAAACCTGAAAGACTATGAAAATCTTAGACGAGAAGAAAAAAGGACGTTTAGAAGGAAAAAGAGAGTCATACGAAAACGCTCTAAAATAGAAAACACTCGTGAAAATTCTACCAGAAGATAAACAGCTGCAGAAAAGAATTCAAACCCAGAATAACAGCATGTAAAGACAGAGATAGTTCCATAATTAGTCACAAAGAACAGATACTAAACAGATGGACGAATCATTTTGAAGAACTGCTTAGCAGCTCTGCTAGACAGTCGTGAAGAAGACCAAATAGAAATTACTTTGTCTGAAATGGATGAAAACGCTCAAGAGCCGCCCCCACCGAAGAAGAAATTAGAGAAGCCATTTCAAAACTGAAAAATAACAAAGCCCCTTCTTCTTCTTCTTAGGGTGCCTGTCCGTTCCGAACGTTGGCGATCATTCTGGCTATGATGATTTTGTTGGTTGATATACAAAAGCTATACAAAGCCCCTGGTTTGGACAATCTTTCTGCCGAACTCTTTAAAAATGGTGGTGATACCCTTTTTAAACACGTGCATAAATTAGTAACCGAAATCTGGAAACGGAAGGAAACACCCGCAGACTGGAAATTAGTTGTAATGCACTCTCTTCACAAAAAGGGAGATATGATGGTGTGTGATAATTATAGAGGCATCGCCCTACTTAACGTGGCATATAAAGTATTGTCCAACGTATTGTACAGAAGATTGATCCCCTATGCTGAACAAATAGTTGGGAACTACCAGTGCGGTTTCCGACCCAATAAATCAACAACGGATCAAATCTTCACAGTCAAGCAGATTCTTGAGACAACGCTTGAGTTCGGAGTCGACACCCACCACATATTCGTAGATTTCAAAACCGCATACGACTCAGTCAACAGACAAAAACTTCTACAGGCTTTGGTGGAATTTCAAATGCCGCTTCATCTTGTTCAACTAACGGCACTTACACTCACAGGCCTAGAGAGTGTAGTCAGAATCTAAAACGACTTTTCAAGACCCTTTCTGAGTAAAAATGGACTGAGACAGGGAGATGGACTGCCGTGTCTCTTATTTAACCTTGCACTAGAAAAAGTAATTCGAAAGTGCCATATTAATACGAATGGCACCATCTTTAATAAATCTGTACAAGTTATCGGATATGGAGATGGCATAGACATAGACATTATTGCTAGGTCCACAGAATCTCTGATCGAAGCATTTCGATCATTATTGGCATCTGCACTGAAAATGGGATTAAAAATAAACGCACAGAAAACTAAGTATACGTATTATTGTAATAGATCAGGCAACCAGATACTTAGACTATTAATTGATGATCTGGAACTGGAAGGTGTGGACACCTTCGTCTACCTGGGCTCGCTGCTGACCCAAGACAACAATGTCAGCGAAGAAATTAAAAGAAGAATAATGCTTGCCAATAAGTGCTATTATGGCTTAAGGAAACAGATGGTCCCAAAACTACCCAGAAAAATTAAAGTTGCCATATTTAAAACACTAATTAGACCAGTGTTAACATACGGGTTAGAAACGTGGTCACTTACACACAACACGATCAAGAATTGCTTAAACGTTTCGAGAGAAAAATTCTAAGGAAAATATTGGAGGAATCCAAGAACAGGGTTTGTGGCGTAGGCGCAGTAGAAGTTTTGGGGAACCTGACGTTGTAAAATGTATTAAATTAGCACGCCTTCGAGGGATAGGACATGTAATTAGGCGAGATGAAGAAGCAACGATCAGAAAAATTTTCGACCTAAGAGGACCAGTGGAAAGACGAGATACAGGAAAACCCAAGCTTAGGTATTAAGATAACATAGAGGATGATCTAAAATCCATCGGAGTTAAAGCATGGAAAAGAGTTGTCGGAGACAGGGGCGAATGGAAGATTGTTCTGAAGAAGGCTTAGACTCATAAAGAGCTGTAATGCCACTGATGATGTTAACTAATTTTAATCCATTTTCTGCTATTTTAACTGTGGTTTATGATATTTACTACAAGAGAAAGTTAAATTTTCTGTTGTTTATAGTAGTATTTTATGATCGTTTTGCAGGACAAAATAAAAATATAAAAGTAGGTATCTGCTCCTGTAATATGTTTCATACTATATTCCAGTTATCTTCATTTTAAATAGCAACTTTTGCACTACTTTCGTGCTGTGAAATTCTACTACATATACACTTGCTTGCATAAAAATCGGTCCACTGTAAACTTTTGACTTTAACTATATTTGTTTCAAGAAATATTCATCAGATCACAAAAACAAATATACTGTTTGAAAGACAATTTAATATGCTTTAATGTGAGTATAAATTTATTAAGAAGGCTTATCGTTTACATGCGTAGTAATCGGTAAACAAATGAAACGTGTTTATGTGGTGATTGTCACGAAAATAACAAATTTGTCTAATTTTAAAAGTATTGCCTTTGCAAGTGAAATTTGCGTATTATTCGTTTTTTTTTATAATCTCAGCATTGTTCAAGTGTGTTAGTTTAATGCATACTACACCACAAAAAGCCGCCCAAGTTATTGCTCTAATCGAAAATGGACTTAGTCAGCGAGCTGTTGCTAGACAATTGGATATGACACGCGCAGCGGTTCGAAGAGTGTGTCAACGTTATGAGGAGACTGGATCCTTTCATAGGCGACCTGAAACAGGAAGACGGCGATTTACAACCGCTCGTGATGACCGCTTTATTGTGTCAACAACATTAAGAAATCGTCACCTTAATACCGTTCAGGTGCAACGACAGCTCCGTGAGGTGCGAAGAGTGGCTGTTAGTCAGTGGACAGTGAGAAGAAGACTGCGGGAAAATAAGCTGACCCCTAAAACACCTGCGATTGGTCCAAAACTTACTCCAGCTCATCGACAAGCACGCCTGCGTTTTGCACAGGATTATCGGAATTGGACGTTGGAACAATGGGGATCTGTTCTGTTCTCAGATGAGACCAAAATATGCCTCTATGGTAGCGACCGAAGAAGGAAAGTGTACCAGAGACCAGGAGAGAGATTTGCAGAATGCTGCTTTGAAGAGCGGAGTGCTTATGGGGGTGGTTCCTACATGATCTGGGGTGCAATTTCTATAGGAGCACGAACCGATCTTGAGTTCATTCGTAGGGACGACCATGTTCACGGAAGAAGAGGTTTAATGGCTGCCAGATATATCGAGGAGATTTTAGCAATTCATGTGGTACATTACGTCGACTACATTGGAGACGAATTTATCTTTATGCATGACAATGCAAGGGCACACACCGCAAGAATCGTGCAAGATTACATTGCAGAAGTCGGTTTTCAGGTTATATACTGGCCAGCAAACAGTCCTCTCCTAAATCCGATCGAACATTTATGGGATGAGCTAAAACGAAGAATTCGTGCTAGACTTCATACCCCAGACTCGATCCCAGAGCTTATTCTTGCAGCAGAAGAAGAGTGGCTTAACATCCCACAAGCAACAATAGCAAACTTGATTAGATCTATGCCTAATTGTATGAGAGATGTTATTAGGGCAAGAGGAGGTCATACCCATTATGAAAAAATTAAGTTTTAAATTGTCAATAACCCTATTTATGTTAATAATAAAAAGCTTAATTTGCTTAATGAATTCATTTCACTATGTTAAACATAGGAAGCCGAAATAAGTTTTCATAAATTTTAACTCACATTAAAGCATATTAAGTTGTCTTTCAAACAGTATATTTGTTTTTGTGATCTAATGCATATTTCTTGAAAAAAAATATAGTTAAAGTCAAAAGTTTACAGTGGGCCGATTTCTATGCACGCAAGTTTATAACTTTCTATAACAATTTTTTTGTCCTCAACCAACAGTTGTACATAATGCAGATCTTTGTGAAAAGGCGATTGTCGACATAATAACAAATTAGAGACCTTTTGCTATTACTTCATACTACTATAAGTCACGATCTACATATTCATTATTTTGCATTTTACGTACAATGTGCAATGTGTGTATGTGTGTCTTTGTTCAACTTTATTTTTAATTTGAGGGTCAGTAATATTGATAAGTAACGATCCTGATATATTTTGGTAAAAATGTTTCAATATTTACATACGATTTAGCTTCTTCTACTTGAGGTGGCACTATGTCATCTTAAGTATTTATTTCAGATTGTGCATCGAGTGCTCAGGTTCAATTTTTTCTTCATTTTAAGAAGTAGATGAAGTTACAAATCCCATGTTTTCCTATCTTAGCTCTTCAAATGCATAATAACTAATAGGTAGTAGGTACATTAAAATAGATAATTGAATAATAAACGATATTCTCACTGTTATGAGTTATCGGTATATTCAAATTTGATAAATTATAGAAGTGTATGCAAAACAGTTAGTATCTAACGCTTAACATGTTCACTAGTATAAATATGTTACTTTTAAAAACCTATTTTGATATTATTGTTTCCTAAAACTACGCTTTTTATCTCCGCCTATGCTTTTTCGGTTAAGAAAGTTTTACCAACAGATAAATTTAAAATCCCTATAAAATAATTTTCCGTTTTCCGAAGTTTTTCCTAAAATTTTTACTTATTTAATTACATATATGACTAACCCATTTTAATGCTCGTTAAATATTTAAAAAGGTTAAATAAAAAAAATGTTCAAAATAAGTAAAAAAGAACAATATGACGTTTAACCTTATTGTCCACTTGTACAAGTTGATAATTACAATACAAACAATGAGTATCAAAGTTTGAAGTGGTAATGACTGTGCATATCATTTCTACAAAATGAATTATTTTTTGCTATATATATTTCTATTTATTTTACACAATGTTAAATCGCTAGAAAAAGAAATAACCGTTTATATCGAAGCCGGTACAGAATCTTGTTTTTACCAACCCATTAAAAAGGGAGAAATAGTAGATCTCGATTATCAAGTGATTGATGGAGGCCATGGGGATTTAGATATAAATTTCAATTTAGTTCATCCAAATGGAAGAATTCTCTTAACTGATTTCAAAAAGTCTGAGAATACCCACCGAATTGATGTTGTAGAAGAGGGAGACTACAGGTTTTGTTTTGATAATTCTTTTAGTTCATACAACACCAAGACTGTATTTTTTGAATTGATAGTAGAAGGGGATGATAATGGGGAATGGAGTAGTGAAAATATGAAGTTTAATACAGAAGATGAAGATTTTGAAGTTAAAATAAGTGATGTACAAAAAATAGTAAGTACTGTGAGGATACATCTGACTAAAATTAGGTACTTACAAGAATTAATTAAATCCACAGAAGCCAGAGATAGAAATGTTGCTGAAGAAAATTTCTTTAAAGTTAATACATACTCGATGGTCCAGTTATCCCTAATGATCATTGTTGGGTTTATTCAGGTAGTTATGGTAAGAAGTCTTTTTGATGATCATTCAAGAGTACATAAGATTTGGAAAAATTTAAATAAAAGGCTAATTTAATAAGAGAATTATTGAGAGAAACTGTTGTTACTGGTGCATCAAATATACCAAACTCAAATTAATTTTGTCTTTTTTACCATGTTCAATATATTGACTGATAATAGGTACTTAATTAAACAGATCCAATGTAGTCCTTAATAATGCTCAATCGTGACAAACTGTTTATTTATCAGACTAGCCCAAATTTTACTATGAATATACAATCTTAATTAGTATAAATGACATTATAATTTTGACAGTATTTTACTACAGACTAAAAAATAAAGTATGTATCTTTTATATTGTAATACAAAAAATCTGTGTGTATATCAATAATTATTTTATAGATACGTTTTTGCTAGATTATCCATCATAGGTCAGATTTTTTCTTAACATGTTAAGCTCTATGTGCACAGCATGGTTTTTACCAATTTGGCTTACTGTATATATTATCATGTTAAATCATGTGTCCACAATTAGTCTGAAACGAAGGGACGCATCTATGCTTTTGGGCTTAACATGTTAAAATCGAGTTTATGGTAAATTAAATACACATGGTAAAATATTTTAAGCTTATCATAAAATTGTCTCCTGTAAGCTTTGCTCAATGTTATTTATAATATTTTGACAAAAATTTGTTGATACTACATAATAATTTGAAAGGCACATTGATAGATGAATATGTCATATTTATTTCTCAGTGTGCAATTTCCTGATTAAGACAGTACTTGATGTGTTTAATTTTACCGGAGTTGTATGTTGTAATATATGTAACTTTTCTATCTATCTATCTAATATTATTTGAAATAGTAGTAGTATCATCAACATATTTGTTGTTGAAGCAATAATTGATACAGTAATGGATTCAAAAGTTAAAGCAATAAAGCTTTTTCACACAGGATTTACTATTCTTTCTATTTTTTGCACTAATTCAGATGTGTATTTCATTGAAAGCTATACCAAAAGCTTTCTTCTAGTTTTATGACTGTTATCAGTCGTTGGATATTATGTTGGCTACCATATTTGCTATCGTGACATTATTTACCAAAAGATTTAGTAATTTTGTTTTGTTCTCTTTGTTTAGTCATTTTATCAGTTCATAGATATAGAACTAAATAAATAGCTAATGTCTGAAAAGAAGATAAACTTTTAAATATGTCTACTCAAGAAATATTACTGAGTAAAAATTTTGATACAATAAAAAAATATCAACAGCTGTAGTAACACTACAGTTTTCTTCATTCACTGTACCCTTTACAGTTTAAGTTTCAAAACTATTGCTGAACAGCAAATATTGTTAGTAATATATTTGTATAATGGTTTAATCATTACATTATCTCTTTATCTGACAACTTTTTAAAAAAACATGACAGCAACTACTGCAACTAAAAATTATTGATATTACTATTGATTAAAGACAGAATACTTTACTGTTAACCAGTGTTTATCAGCTAGTTTTTAACTGAGTTCTTAGAATAAAAAATGAATAATTAACAATGATTATAACTATGGGTAATTCAAATTTTTTGTTTGGTTTCACTGGGTTTTTCATCATTGTTAATATGGTGCTACAGTCCTTAAAGGGCATCACCTTTTCAAGCTTTCTGTCCCATTCTGCTACGTCCCTTGATCAGTGTTCTATATAGTCTTACATGAGTTTTTTGAGACAGACATTTGTTAGTTAAGTACTTTGATAGAACTTGATAACACTTGTTTGTAATTAAGATTCATCTTTTTATTTCCCCTCAGTTTATATTGTATTATACTTGTTGTATTATATACTCATTACTAAGAATTTCCTAAACAATCCTTGTATTTGCAAAAATAAAAACACTATCCATTATGTATTTACACAAATGTAATATTTTAATCTATCCATTATTTTTAATAAAAGATGTTAATCATTATTAATTATTACTATTAATAATATAAGTCGTTAGTTTTTAATGACAGCTATTAACATAATAATGTTTGTATTATATATAATATCATGATCAATAATTACAATTGGTAATTTGAATTTACCAAATTTGTCATAGTCCTAGCAATATGTTGAAGTGATATGAATTTTAATGTCTGAAGGTTTTGTACACCTTTACAAAGTGCCATATTATGTTCTTTACCTTGTATAATTTGTATAAATAAACATAATATTTATTTTAATGTAGTTTTGATACACCCTAATTCTTTAGAAAAAATAATCTAAGATTGAAGCTGTACAACTGAATGACAGACGAATGATAGGAAATCAAAACAATGATATGGATGAAAAGATCAAAAATTTCAGAAGGTGTTAAAAGGGAATGGAGAACTGTTTGATGCTTGAAACTTAATAAGAATATAAGAAGAAGACTTATTGACTCCAAATTCAATAAGATTCTTGAACCAAGATGAATATATGTACTATGTTTCACGATGTCTTCAAAAAAAGAAAAGGCATATGATTCAATATTTTTCTTATACTAAGAGGAACCTCCAAGAATGTCGGGGACTTTTCTTCAACAAAAATTGTTTTTCCTTGCACCAGGAGAAACATGTACCAACTTTTCAGACTTTTAGATTTTCCCTCGATCGAAAAGACAAAAATATGAGAAGATCTCATTATCATCGTTTGGCGCTACAGCCCTTTGTGAGCCTTGACCTGCCCCAAAACATTCTTCCCTGTCGACTGTTTGTCTTCTCCATCTTTTTACTTACATCTTGTACATCGTCCAAATATCTGTTTTATAGGTCGCCCATTCACTCTTTCTATGTGGTGCAATTCATCTGATAGTTGTACTCAATTGAAAACCTTTTCTAAGTTTATGAACCATGAATAGACAGATTTGTTACATTCTATTCTGTTGATTTCTTAGCTATAAGTTCCTTCGCAAATATAGCATCATTACAGGATCTTCCACTTGTGAAACATCGTCTTCCTGGTATCCCTATTTTTTCAGGTTACTAGCCGAGATCTTAATTTAGTTCATTTGGCTGAACTTGGTGGTCATACAAGGTGTGTCTTCGATCCGTTTCCTGCTTCTTTCGTTCTAGCTCTGACGTGACGTGTCTTCTGATAGCAGGTGGAGCGATTCCAACTATATGGTAGACCTCTTCGATAGGTGTCGGTTTCAGGCAACCAGATATTATGCGAACCGTTTCATTTAACGCAACATCGACGTTTTTAGCGTGAGCAGAGTTTTCCCACACTGGTACTCCAAACTCGGCGGCAGAAAAACATAATGCTAAGGCAGAAGTACGGAGAGTGTATGGTTGTGCTCCCCATTTTGTGTTTGTTAGTTTGCGGATGATATTATTTCTGATGCTTACTTTTTTTCTTGATATCGTGATAGTGATATCTCATTGATTAGCTGAGATATGTAATAAGCTCTAAATATTGGAAAATAATGGAGGGTAAAATAAAAAAGGAGAACTTTGATGGAGAACAACTGATCTACTGGCCTATTATTACACCATTATGTTTGTTTCTTAATTCCAGCGCTGTTACCATTTGATACATGAGCCGAAAACTGCTTAGAATGTGTTCTTAAACTAAATTAGTTATTTCAAGAGATTTTTTATGGGTCAAATATTATTATAAAATCACAGAGATGCTGTACATACAGTAATAGTATAATTGTAATAAGGATACAATTTGAATTTGTGGTCTATGTTGTGAAGATTTTAACTCCAGGATTTATGCAACTACATATACAAACCAGAGATATGTATCACTCATACAAACTTATTTGATGGACAAAGGTAGGCAACATTAAATTAACAAATTTACTAACCAGTTCACATTTGACTTCCATCTGCAATGTTGCCAGATTTTTGTTGAAAGTAAATAAAGACATTTCTGGCTATAGAAATATCAATTTTCTAGCATATAATAATAAATTGGAATATAATTTCATCATTTTTACATTTAAATACTTCTATGAATAAATAATACCTGACAACTTTTATTTATAATAGTTGTTACATAACAGATATTTATTTCGGTTACACAGTATTTCGGTATTTATAATTAAAATAAGAAATTTGGCACTACTGCACTTACAGTCCATCTTTTACATAACTCGGCTCGTTTCTAGGATTCTAAATCTATAAAATTAATTTTTACAAAAATGAGTGCCTGGAGAGCTGCTGGATTAAAGTAAGTTAGTAAACAAATTACACTAAATATTGTTTTTTCTGTTTATTCTATTCCTGGATATAAATGTAGCAAGAGGTTATGATGACGAATTCGTATAACATTTTTATCATTTTGAATGATTATCATGAACAAGAAATAAAGAAAAAAGTTAAATATCAATAATGTTTTTACATTAATTCATAAATAACAGAAAGAGTAACTTAAGTGTATAATATACTATTATTTTATAGAAGTCTTTAGCAGACTTTCACATGATTATTCTCAATTGTAACATGTTCCCAATGATCTAATGAAGAATAAGTATCCATTACCATTTTCTCAAAATGTAGGTATCGTTATTGGGTTAATTTTAATGCTCAATTGTAAATTAGTTGAAAATCCATTAATAAAAAAATTTCAGGTCTATCAAACTTTTTATAATGATTCAAACATAATATTTGTCTATTAAATATAAAAAATTTCATGGTGTCTAGATTTCTGAAGTAAAAAAGTAGACATACTATAGTTAGTCAATAGTTAATGTCTACATTATCCAATATTTTCTAAAAAGATATGAAAACAAGAAAAATTACACTTTTCAGAGGTTATAGGTATTGGGAAACCTCAGTGATTGTCATATTTACAAAATAATAGAATAGTAATAACATTTTTTTAATAACAAGTCTGAATAAGTACTATGTGTTACAGAAATGAAGATGAAAGTTTTTTTTGAGATACTGCTGTCCTGAATGTTTAATAGTGTTTGATAATTAGACCCTATTATAGTACCTTAAGAATTCAGGACTAGACAAAGAGAATATCAAAAGATATACATCTTCTTCAAGTTCCACTCCTATCGGAGATTGGAAATCATTCTGGCAATCATAATTTTATTATTTACTCGCCTGAATAGTTCAATTGAACTGCATCCAAACCATTCACGGAGATTGCGTAGCCACGAGATTTTACGTCTTCCTACGCTTCTTCTACCTTTGATTTTACCCTGCATTATCGATACATTTTTGGCAAAGTAATGTAAGTGACATTTTTGGCGAAAATCATGTTTTTCAATTAAACTAACACTATTATTGTTAAAAAGGTACTGCCAAAGTGTAGTAAGCCTAGAATTACTTTAAACCTTTTTTAGGACAAGTAGGGCAAGTTTTTTCAGTCATAATTTAAATAAGTTTAACCAGGTTGAATTAAAAAATTGTTTTTTCAAAAAATCATGTTTGGTGACTTACGTTACTTTGCCAAAAATGTATCGTTATATTCCTTTGTAGTTCGTACTTTTCACCTCTCATTATGTGCCCCAAGTATTTCAATTTCCTGATTTTTATGGAATTTAAAACTTCGCATTGTTTTCCTAGTTGTTCGAGAACTTTTTCGTTTGGTTTGCGATCCATCCATGATATTTTCAAAATACGTCGGTAACACCACATTTCGAATGCTTCTAGGTTTTTAATGTTGGATTTTTTAAGTGTCCAAGCTTCAACTCCATACAAAAGGGTAGAGAAAATATAACATCGAAGCATTCTTATCCGGAGCGATATATTGATATCGCGATTACAAAAAAGTTTTCTCATTCTATTAAAAGTTGACCGCGCAATTTCAATGCGGCATCTTATTTCTTTTGTCTGATCAGTATCTTCTATGATCCATGCTCCAAGGTATTTGTACCAAGATATTTGTTCAATTTCTGTATTATCTAGTACTAGCTTAACTTTGATGTTTTGTGCTTTTGTAAATACCATGAACTTGGTTTTCTTCAAATTGATTTTTAGTCCATAATCGTTGCAATATATATTTAGTCGTTCAGCAAGCTGTTGCAGTTCTTCTAGTGTTCCTGCCAGAACGACGGTGTCGTCAGCATATCTTATGTTTCTTGTATAAAGATATACAAGAAACAAGCAAAAAGAATCAATATCGTGACAATCATGTTGATATACTTAATGAAATTACCAAACATTAAAAATACAGGAGTGTGACACTGAAACGGACAACTGAACATAGTGTTGCTAAATGAATTGAGTAGAAACTTTAAAATATATAAAATGTAATATGTTTTTCACTTGAACTAATATTTAAACAAACTTTTATTTTTAGCTACATTAACTATTCCAACATTGCTGCCAAACTTCTGAGGCAGGCACTTAAACCCGAACTTAGAACAGAAGCACTCAGAAGAAACGAAACCCATATTAAAGTAACAAAATGGCAAGATGGAAAGCCAATAAGTAAGTTTATTTTCAATAATTTTCATTCAGATTTTAACATATCAGAATCATCATTGCATTATTGAATACAAAGTTCCCATCAGAACAATTCCACATATCAAATAACAACAGTATCTAGAAATATTTGAAATTCCCAGCCAAATATAGACATTTCTGTTTATTTTTGTGACTGTCTTTATTCATGTCATTTATTTAAGTTTTTTTATTTGATTAGCAAAAACTATCTGATTTTAATTATAATTCTCAGCAAGAGTAACATCTAATATTGTTGAAAAACAGAAGTTTTTACTCAATGGGGACTGTAGATGAATCTAGAACCATTCTGAGGTATCACAAAATATGTTATTAGAAGTTGCTTGAAAAGTGACTAGAAAGAGTGATAATAACAAGTAGAGAGTCCTTCAGGGGTAAACCCATACCAAGCAAATTAGTAACATTGACAGGGAGTGAAGATGGTGATGACTCAGTCAATTAAGTCTAAAGGAAGGAAAAGACATGTCATGTGTGAATGTGAAATGACTAGTGACATGAAGTAGGTATATATTGTTGTATATATCTCTATTACATGAAGTAGGTATATATAAAAGAAGTGTTGATCCAATCAAAATCTCCCCACAAGTGAGTTGCTGGTTTTTAGAAAGAGCCCAGAACTTTTGGTATAGTTTAATGGAAGATTTGATACAAAGATTCCATAACCAAGTGCCAGATACAAGTAGTTTCTCATCTGATATAAGGATAAGAATATTTAGGAAGTATGTTTAGCCCTGTGTATGAGACATAAAAAAAGATATCAAAGGGAAAGTAATATATCATTAAAATGTATTTTCTATATTTGTAGATTTATACTATATATACATAGATTTTACTTTATATTTAAAACATTTTCTCTTATAGGTGCTAGGGAATAAATGCTAGTAAGTTTTGGGTGACTTATTTGGTTGATTTGCATCCACATACTAACTTCTTAGTCTTGTTTTAGTATATAACCAAAATATTTTACAGTTTTTGTGTGTATTTTATAATGGACTTGTGTGATTTTTCTTACAAAATAATAAATATTTGGGTAAATTGTGCAGATATTCTATATTCTATTGATCCTTCATGCTTTTTAAACTTTAATCTACAAAAACAATTTTGCTGTGTTCTGATTTATCCATATTTGTGTGTTTTGACTTTAATATGCGCATTTAGTTCAGCAAGTCGTTCAATAGATAAATATTACAAAAGAATACATTCTTTAAATTCTTTTAATAAAACAATTAATCAGGAAATTGGAAGGAGTTGCTTATGATAAAATTAAAAATAGGTATTAACAGAAGATTTTAAAACAGGCAAAGTAGTGGAATTTTTAAAAAAAATTGGTAAATTTGGAATTTATTCATTAAAAAAAAAAAACTACGTAAAAATTATGATGCACAGAAGGTACTGCTTTAAAGTTGTTCTAGCATCTGGTAATGACACCTTAATCTGAATATCATGTACATGATGCATGAATATGATGTATGGAATCATTTACCACCTTGTAGAGTGACATATGCTATTGAATTACTTTTTAAGAAAATACCCTCATACTTGTTCGTATGTGCTTAAGAATAAAAGGAAAGGAATGTATTCAAATTTAAAAATTTTGATGCTAATGAAGGATTATTAATTGCACTAAAAGTTTGTTTTATTTATTTTATTATTTACTGATTGATTTTTTTCTTTTTCAGAGGAGTCCACATTTTAAATCCATAATTTAAGTCCAAGTCTATGTAGTGTTAATAATTGTTTAGTCAACTACAATTTATGTTACAATTTTGTAAATATCAGTTCCAGATTTATATCATTTGGGTATTATTCCTATTTTTGATGTAAAAATGGATTAGTGAAAAAGAAAATAAAACAATATTATACTATAAAAATGTGTTTTATTATATATTTTTTATTATACCAACAAGTTTTATTTATTTATTTACAGATGTAAGTAGATAGGCTACACGGCTCCTGGCGCAACCCCTAAATCCCAAACACTAAAATCGCAACCACCGGTCGTAACTGCCAAACGGCTTAACGTAGGATGACGTACGAGGGCTCGTTGGAAAGGGGATGAAAAATGGGGTTGAACCATCGAGCAAAAAGATAAAAGAGGGAATGTAAAGGTAGTGGGGACAAAAATATTGTTAGACAGGAAGTGCTATCTTGAGAGGCCACTTTAAACAAGGAAAGACAGTCTCTTTCCTTGTTTAAGAAGTCAAAATTAGTTTGGTTATGTTATTGTTTGTCCCAACTGTCACATGAAATTTTATTTATATTGAAGTTTTTTTACCAATTATGTCACTTTTTAGACTATTATCGTTAATATTTAATTAAAACTATCTTGTCTGAAAAATATTTTACAGGTATTGTTAACAAGTGTTGGAAAATTTAAATCCAGCGCCTTTGCATTTCCGGATATGTCCGCCATCAGAGGCCACTTTTTTGGTCTCCTTTTCATAACGATTAGATTCCCTCTTTTATCTTTTTGCTCGATGGGTTGAACGCAGTATGTGCCGTGCGCATCGGAGCATTCCGAAAGGGCATTACGTCATATCTTTGTTTCTATTGGTCCGATCGTGACATATGAGGGCTCGTTGGAACGGGGAGGAGACGGGAAATACATTGAGACAAAAAACAAAGATGGCGACATTGCCAAATGGGCGCTAGAACGCATCTTCGTTGCTATTGGTCTTATTTTGACGTATGGGGTGTCAAATGAAAGCGTTGGTGGCACAGAAGCCAACTGTTTGGCTTGCGTCAACGTTGAATATGAACATTCTTCTTTTCCGTACAGTGCCAAAGAGAACGTGACAGTCGACGCAGAACGTGAAATAACGTGACATTCGACACAGGACGTGAAATAACGTGACATTCGACGTAGGACGTGACATTTCGCGTTCTGCGTCGACTATCACAAAAATGTCACGTCCTACGTCGAATGTCACGTTCTATAGCCTCACTCTCCGACCATAAATAGCAATGTACATTTTTATAGGCTAACTTAAATTCCTGTGGTGTTAATTCGGTTAAAGTTCAATTGTAGCAATTAAGCTTAGACTTATAGTACAAGGAAGAACAGTTAAGCTGGATTTATAGTTTGATGGACTGTAGACGTAGATGCACTGGAGACGTAACAAACGGACTGTAAATATTATTTCACTTTATAAATCGACGGAGTGGAATTTTTGCTTATGAGTTTATATTATTATACGAGCTGCATAGAATTGTTTCTTATTCTGTGGCATAGATCACATTGATCCTTTGGCCACAGAATAATAAACAATCAGAATGCCCACTCTGAGCTTTGAAGTTTTTCAGCAAGCGCGCCATGTTTTAGAAGGAAACACTTAACACAGACATATGATTTGTGAGGTAATTGTTTATGTTTAATTATATTATATTTAACAACGTTAATATAATTGTATAGTATGTCTATGATTGCCGTAAGTGAATTAAACTGGGTTAATTTTTTTATGCACACCACATACCAACACTTTCCCTCGGTTCCCTTTAAAACATGGCGGAACGTCTGCGCGTACTTAATTTTCCATGGAGAGTGGGCATTCTGATTGTTTATTATTCTGTGCTTTAGGGCCGGTTCTACAATGCTAGTATATACTGAGAATAAAGTTATACTTGGAATAACTTCATTAATGGTGTTCTACAAACAAAGAATAAACTAGGAATAAGATAATCGGAGTATATCTGTAGAATAACTTTATCCCTCCAAAGTTTAGCAGATATACCCAGTATAAATTTATACTGCATTTCTATTGGTCGGTCAGGGGTTGTCAAATCTGTAATATTTTAACCTCACTTTGTTTGTTTTTATATATAAAATAAAATTTTTGATATTGCACAAACATTTTAGATTGTAAATCCAAAGGAAATTTTATTAGGCAATCCAAAAGAAGAAAGAAAGCATTTATTATTTCAATTCTAAAATTTTAGGATATGTATGTAATCTAATAACGTCTACACATATGACTAATATAGTATAGGTATAATCTTACCAAGGCAATATATTTTTTAATGTTTTGATAACAGAGACTGTAATTCTAGAATCTGTAATATATAAACATTTCTTTAACTAAAATTATATATTTTGTAATCCAATATTTATACTTGTTTAAAATGTGGAGTACCTATACATATAGATATATTTACATAATTTTGGTTATTATTATATTGTAACACTAATCTCAGTTGATGATAATAAAAAATTTAAGAAGGAAATTTTACATCTTTTTTTATCCATTTTATATTAATTTTGTAAAGTATAATAATATAAACGTAGATAAAATACCAGATAAAGCGAATCAATTATTCAATTCCTTTCAATTGTAAACAAATTTACAGTTATGGCAAATGCCAAATGTCGCTGTCAATAACAATTTGAACTAATTTTGAAGATATCAGATCTACTATTTCGTTTTACCTTAGTGTTCTGTGGTTATACCCAGAATAACTATTCCGCTGTCGATTTCACAACGTAGAACGCTCGAAAGGTTATACTTGGAATAAACTCAAGTATAAGTTATACTCAGAATAACTATTCTCCAGTTTATACCTGGATTGTAGAACCGGCCCTTAGCTGAGTTTACCGAAAGTACAAGCTGAATATAGCCGCAAATGTTAAAATATTTCGGTTTAGCAGTCATTTAGCAGTGTTGGCATGTTTTTATAATGCATGTGTTGTATGCTTCAAATATAAAGAGATAAAACTTTTAAAAAGTACATTTTGATTATACTATTTTATGAATTCTGCAATTTTTAATTTATATGAAGCAATAACGAGTAGATATTTGTCTCTTTCGAGATTAATTGCAAACGTCTGTTGTAATCTGGCAACTGCTGATTTGACGATTGCCAAATATTAACCTATCAAAGGGTAATTGCTAAAAAAATCTGATAATTAACTGCAATTAATCTCCAAAGAAACAAATATTTACTCATTGTTATTTTATATAAATCAAAAATTATTGAATTCATAACATAATATAATCAAAATGTACTTTTCTAATCTTTTTATATTTGAAGCATACATCTACATTATAAAAACATGTGTCAACACTGCCAAATCGAAATATTTTGTTTCATGGTTGACATTTGAAATAAATACCACAACAATACAGTTAGGTTATGTACACAGATTATGTATTTATTAATACATAATTATAATACGTTTAATACCTATAATTTTTGTTCAAATCGTTAAAGTAGTGTGCCAATATTGTAAAAATTTCTCTAAGAATTTTGTAATAATAGTCATGTCAAGCTAAAATTCTTGAATTCAGTTTGAATTCTCCTAAATGGTAGATCATAATTCAGTACCTATTTCGTTTGGCGGAAACATTAGTACAGAAATAAATTATATTTATTGTTTACGACTGCTTTGGAGTAATAATATTTTCTGGAGTTGCTAGATATTTAGATGTCAATCCCGATATTGTAAGGACTAGGTACTAAAAACTATTCTAAATTTAATAATGGCAGCACCTCCTCATCATTTTATGCAAAATTTGAATAATCCTCAGCCAACTGGTAAGTTCTTTATAATCTTCATAGTATATATTTTATCCATACCACATATTCCTTAACTTGGAACAAGCAATGGTAATTTGATTGTCTTTCACATTTTAATAAATTTGTTTCACTAAAATTGACTGATTATTTGGCATATGTTAAACAAGTCAATTATTTTATCCCTTTGCACCTTCCATCTCTCTATCAACAGATTATCAAAATGTCTATTATGTATGAACTATAATACAATTAAAAGCTGTGTTGTTGTATAACAGTGTAATACTTGTTATACATAATGTAATTGTGGGTGACAAGGCAGTACATTACCTTGAAAGTGTACATAAGTGTCCCCTTCCCTTTTAGGACCTGTCTGTGCTATGGAACAGTTAACATTTTGATTTGATTGTGATTAGTAGGTTGATCAGAAACCAACCAGTGGGGTTAAAGATACCAGTACTGATTTGTTAATAATCTTGGTAGAAATTATGTAAGATCATATTATAAGCATAGTCACTACATGTATAGATTCAAGATACACTAACATAATTAAAAACATATGAAAATGCCACCATGCAGATAAAGCTGGACAAAAGCACAAAAACTAATCCCATAAGACTAAAATGGGGAGTAAGACAAGGAGACACCATCTCTACCAAACTACAATATTTACCCTTGCTCTAGAAGACATTTTTAAGAAACTAGAATGGAACAAGGGTATCAATATCAACGGATCATACTTAAAGCACTTAAGATTTGCAGATGACAATAGTTTTAATAGCTGATAATATCCAAGAACTAAATGATATGTTACAATTAAATGCAGTTTCAGGAACGGTAGGCTTAAAAATGAACATACAAACATTCATAACCCACATGATGGATTCTCCACATTAGAAAAAATTATTATCAGGAATATTACTATGTTAGTACAATTTTAAAAAAACTAAAGAATTGAGCAATATTCACAGCTGGATCACCTGCAGGACAATGCACCATCACACCAAACTCATCATTCTCCCATGGTGCATTTGGAAGATTGTAATCACCAAAAACATAAATATCTTGTACTGAGTATTTCAGGACAACATTTTCCGCAGTTAACAATGTCAGTTGCATACATCGCAAGTTGATTGTGGGGGTATGTAGACACCACCAACTACAAACTTTACTTACATAAATTGCAAAAAAAAATATTTTAACTAAACGCAGAGACAATATCATGCACACATACATAGGCACACGAACACATATGAACACTCACACACATACACACATAATGGGTATTATTTCTGTGAGTTTTGGACTCAAAAAACTAGTTGATATGCTGATAATAACTATTCCCTCTTATGATAATTCCTTTAAGTTTAGTTTTTTTGCTGTTACTTTGTCCACACCTGGTGCTTTTCAAATATTTAAGTACTGTATTTCTTCTTGTTCTTGTTTTTATTTATTTATTAACAGCATAATAACATATAGATACAATTTGGTTCATTCTTTATGATTCACTCTGTATGAATTTTTGTTTTTAACAAGCATTAATTTTTAATTCAGTATTTTGTCTTTTTCTTTGGTTCAGTGCGTTTCAAATACCCACAATTTATTAGCTTTAGGTGTAGATATATGTAAGTTCTCCATATTAAATAATATTGAATACAGATAATATAATTCAATGTTGTTAATGTAACTCACAAATAATGATCAAAGTGCCAAATAAACTCTATCTAACACCATGTAAATGTAATAAATATAACCACATTTATCTGGAAATAATTTATTTTCATATAGCCATGAGGAGTTCTTTTGGACCATCACCAATGCAGACCCAAATGGCTCCAGGGGGCATGCAGAATACTATGCCAACACAAATGCCTGTTCAGTTGTCTAATCCAATGGGTAGTCCTATGGTGTCACAAATGAGCAATCCAATGAATGGAACCATGACAAATCCAATGAATCCCAGTATGAATGGAGGTTCACCAATGTTAAGTCAAATGAATCAGCACTACAATATGAGCAGTTCAATGAATGGAACTCAAATGGTACCTCATCAACCTCCTACACAAATGCCTATGCAGTCAAGACCCATGGGTAAGTTGAAACATCAATATATTTTTATTTAATGTTTGTAATAAAACAAGAATTCTATTATATGGTCTTTTATTAGTGTATACTCTTGTCTCACTGCTGAGAGAAGTACACAGATCCATTCTACACTGATCCATACCTTCTGACTAGAGACAAAGTGGATTTGAGCAGACAGTACACTCATTTAAATTTAAATAAGTGTTTGACATTTTAAAATTAATATATTTTGTTTGTTTTCGATAGATCAAAATCAAAAAAATTGTAATGAAAAATTATATTTTATAGAATTTACACCTGCTCTGAATCACCATGAAATGCCTCAACAAACTCCAACAGTTGCTCCAACTCCCCCATCAGTTCCTGTGCAACAGCAACAGCAACAAGCCAAAGAATTTAATACTGCGTCGTTATGTAGGTTAGGACAAGAGACTGTTCAAGATATTATTAGTAGAACACAAGAAGTGTTTCAGACTTTAAAACAGATACAGGTTAGTATTAATTTTTGAGATTTGTATTTGACTGCCATTTTCCACAAAGCAGCCAGTTCAGGACTAAGAGCTTTACTCTGTTATATGCACTTCTGCCAGGAGCATGAGATATCATGCCATTCTAAGTGTTATACAGCAAACCCAATAAGTTTTTGATTATGTCGATTTTCATCTGGTTGCCAGTCAACCATCATGCTTACCACTGGTTTTACCAATCCTGATGTCTATATGAAGCAGATATGTTATCAAGGTTACCACTAAGTGATCCCACGGAGGTTGATGGTTACATAAATTCGTTTAATTTAACAGAGGAACTACCCCTCACCTTTGAGGATGTGGCTAAAGTAACAAAGACAGATACAGTTTTAGTTAAGGTATTAAATTTGGTAGACAGGATGGCCTGGTGAAATTACTAGTCCAGTTATGAAGCCAGATTTTTTAAAATGACATGAGATGTCTGTGGAAGAAAACTGTCTGCTTGTGGGTTCAAAAGTAATAGTCCATGCTGTTTTGAGAAATAAAATTCTAGAATTAATTCATGAGAACCACAATGGTATGGTAAGATCCAAAATGCTTGCTAGGTCAATAGTTTGGTGGCCAGGTTTACAACAGGATATTGATGTCCAGTTGTGAAATATGTCAATTATCACAAAACAATAGTGAAAAATCTTAAATGCCCTGGCCTAGAACTGCTAATGTTTTGGAACATGTTCATATTGATTTCTTTTTTTAATAATGTCTCTTATCTGTTATTAGTGGACAGCAAATCTAAATGGATTGATGTACATGTCATGGTTAGAGGTACTAATGTAACAAATACTATAGAAAAATTTAAACTAACATTTTCTATAATGGGTCTACCAGACGTCATTGTTAGTGACAATGACCCACCATTTAATTCTAACTGTTTTTTGAAATTTTGTGAAATAAAGGGTATCAAGGTAGTAAAGTCTCCTCCATATCACCTCCAGTCCAATGATACTGCTGAGAGATACATACAAACAGTAAATGTTGCGTTCAAGAAATCTCTTTTAGAAATTTCAACATTAACTGTAGAACAAAGGTTAGTCAACTTTCTAGTATATTTTTAAAGTTAAACCAAAAGCAGTCATTGAGTTGATCAAAACTAAAAAGGGTAATTATTGCAGTTATAATAAATCATCAGATTTCAAACAAATTGAATGCTTTTTAGTAGGGAAGAAAGTATTAGTAGGAAGACTAGGTCCTTATATAACAGATAAGTGGCAGGAGGGTAGTATAATAAAACGTGTAAGTCCAATGACATATTTGGTTCAAGTAAATGATAGAGTTTTGTACAAACATGTGAGCCACGTTTCCCTTCACCGCCGCGTATAATATTAGTTATATTATCGTAATTTCTAATTATTCTTATTTTTTTAGCCTCCTAATGGAACTCCTCAATCTCTTAATACAAGCAACGAAAAAAAGGCCAAAGTTCAAGAACTTCTCCGTACAATTAGGGTACTTTTCAAAAGACTTCGGTTAATATACGAAAAATGTAATGAAATTTGCCAGCTACAGGGCATGGAATACACACATATTGAAAGTTTGATTCCATTCAAAGACGAACTGGATCCGAAACATGACGAGAAGAAAAATTCCGAAGCTTATCGAACAGCTTGTGATGAGAGTAAGGAAGTAATGGAGCAGGTCGTTTTAAAAAATAAACAACTCAAAGAAGTTATCGATCATTTAAGGCGTATTATTTGGGAGATCAACACAATGCTCACTATGAGAAAATCTTAGCACATCTCCACATAAATAAATCAATCATTACTTTTTTATTGTCGCTATTAAAAATTGCTATAATAGCATGACAGAAAAGCAATTGTTTGCTTTAAGACAGAATGAAAGTTTTGTTATTTATTGTATGAATATTTATCAAGAATTGAATTACTGATTTATATAACAATGCTGAATATAAATGGATAAATAACGTAGAGCACCCATCGGGCAAACGATTTAGTATCTGTTTAAACTTTTTAGTAGATTGGTTTGTGTTTATATATTTACATTTATTCGTTTAATTGTGTACGATGAACTATTTACTGATTGATTGGTTCCTGACTATACCGCAGAGCGGTACACTTCGTTATCTCCGCTGTCTACGTTTCTGAAATGATATCAGTAAGAACAGTGTTCAGGGTTCCAAATAGTAGATACTTTAATAATTTTTGCTCATTTTGGAGACATTTAAGACTTAGATTATGTATTATTTTAATTCTCCAAGGCAGGTCTCTTTAACGCAGTTCAAATATTTCATCTGGTTCATCATCATCATCCCGTATGCGTCCACTGCTGGAGATAGGTTTCCCTCAGCTATTTCCATAAATGCTTTTTGCCCTTTCTAGTGCTACTTTAACTCTTTATAGGGCAAAACTTTTCTTTACAGTATTAGGTCATTTTTATGAATTCATGCTGCAGATAGGATCCAATGTATGTCATAAAAATGTTTAAAATATTCCAAGCTTGATCAGAAAAAATCTGAGGGGGCGTCACTAGACTAACCACCAAACGTTTTGTGCAGTAGCAATACCAGCATAGTTGGTGATCAACAGAATAACCACTTTTATTTTAATCATTTATTTGTCATAAAGTTACAAAAGATATTGTAGGTAGCTTAATATTATGAACTTTACAATGTGTGGAATGGTTCAAAACATGAAACACACAATGCCACATCACATTCTCTACAAATAAGTGTTGATCTGACAACTTTCTTTTTTGTACAACAGTACCCACTTTTTGTGTTAGCTCATCAGCTAAATTACTGCGAAACATCAAATGAGACATTGGTTTTATATTCCTGTAGGGGAAAGTATTAGGAAAGGATTCCCTTTTTATTAGAATAATGATTAGACCAATTTACCTTCATACTTCTACTTGCACAGTAAAATATTCGTTGTCGCAGTAATCCAAAACAGTCATATATTCGTGTAATAACCTATATTCTCTGTAATGCAAAAATGTATGGTCAGTGCTGCTATATGACGTAGAGGGCTGGACACTCAAAACGAGGGATATAAACAGATTAGAAGCTTTCGAAATGTGGCTTTCGCCGTACCGTAAAAATACCATGGACAGCGAAAATCACAAATATAGATGTCCTTAAAAGAATAAACCAAGAACGCCAACTTTTCGAAACCATCAAGAAAAGGAAAACGGCGTATCTAGTATCTGTATCTCTTACTTATACAACATACATGCAATAAATTTTCTTGTTCCACTGGGTAATAGGTTTCGTCAAATGTTCAGGTATCGGTAGAAAATGAAACCTCATCAAACACTTTTTATTTACTGCAGACATAAAGTCTTGTCCTTTACCGATATCTGTCTTAAAATCACACTAAACTTCCCAGGGTACACCTTGTACAATAAACCCAGGTCATTCATGGAAATGACATACACATTTCACAAAAATATCCCATCCTTACCACATATCATCCCTCTCTATCACCAAATTCCCCATATCGACTATCTTGCAGTTGACCTACACCTAGAAAACGAAATAATCACGATAATCTCGTACTATAAACATCCAGCCGAACCCCTTTCTTTAATTGGCGATCTCTACAGCAGACATACTCAATTTGGTGATACCGCCATAAACCGTCATGACAGACTACTTTGAGACCTTCTTCTCGAACTACCTCTAGAATCACCAATATAACGATCATGTTTTAAATTACAATAAAATGTCCTATCTTCTCTTCCTCTTCTTCACTCCAAAATCCAGTTAAAAAAAGAGAGCAGTCATTCCTTGAAGATGTGAAAGCCTAAATAAGGACATCATAACTAGTTACGTTCGATACATTGTTTTTCCTGGAGCTTTGTCAATGTTTGTCCTTTGAATTTCTATTGTCACTTTTTCTTGGTTGGATACTTTATTGCTTCCCTTTATAGTAGAAGTATTCCTTCCATATTTATGTCCTAATGCATCCTATTTTGGATATTCATAGCTTTATGTATTTTTATATATGCATTCAGTATTTAGAATAATATTCATGTCAATTTTTTCAACTTTTAAACTTTTGTTATTTATTATTTTTTTCTAAAATAATATTAATACTTTTTAATTTAAGAATTTATTGATATCGAAATTTTGAATTGATAGAAGACGTTTGCGGTAAGAACGAAATTTCAGTAATAAGTAGATTCATAAATTTTCTTATTTTTTATATTAAGTTTTACTGTATTTGCCAAAATAAACAGTATCGAATTTAAAAGTCTTATTTATTTATTAGGCGGTCAGATAGCCAAGCGGGTCAGGCAGCCGAATCACTGTGAAGATCATTTCAGTGGTCGATGTTCAGACCCTGGCCCTGACCAGAAAAACAAGAAAGGCTAAAGTAGTAGTTTGAAATTCTAAATGAATCTGCTAGTTAAACTAGAATATGCTGGTGTTTGATCGAATTATGAGTGAGTCATATCTTTTTGTAAACTCAACCGTAAAAAAAATCGAAATTTCTTTTCTAATCCTGTACAATATCTAGAAGGCATCTTTAATCTATCCGTTATTTCAGCTCGCCTATCATTTAATTTCTCAATTAGCTTTTTGGGGTGGTTAAAGGTGGAGCTAATATGAGATGTTGACTCTTATATTAAAATAAAACTCTTAGAAATGTCTACCCGTTTCTCAACGAAAGGGTTGGGTGTTTTAGAAACAAAACTCGGCTCTGCCAGTAAGTCCTACTCTCACGTCCTCGAAGACATTATGTCGCGTAACCACCGGGTATATGCCGTACAATGGATGAAAGAGAGAGGGTGAAAGGCGAGTTTCTGGCGCCTTAAAACTGGAACATGTCGACTAAGGGAAGGAACTTAATTACTTACTTACTCCGTGGCGTTACAACCCTTCGTGGGTTTTAGCCGACTCGACAACATGCCTCCACTGTTTTCTGTCTTAAGCAACCTCCATCCAATTCTCCACGCCCATAGTGCTTAGGTCTCCTGTTATATTATCTCGCCACCGGAGACGAGGGCGTCCGCGTGGTCTCCTTCCAGTTGGGACTTCCTCCACACCAGTCTTACTGTTTGTTCGTCAGAATGTCTTCTGAGGTGTCCTGCCCATTGGAGTCTTCTGGACTTTATTTCTTTTATGATGTTGGCGTCTGGGTAAAGTTCTTCAAGCTCTTTATTAGTTCTTATCCTATATTGTCCTGATGCTTCATCATGCACCGGACCAAAGATCTTCCTTAGGATTTTTCTTTCCCAAACACGTAGTCTCTCTTCATTTGCCTTTGTTATCGTCCACGTTTCGCTTCCATACATCACAACGGATCGTATGATTGTTTTATAGACCTGTATCTTCGTACGTCGTGTTAGTTGTTTTGATTTTATAAGGTTTTGGAGGGCAAAAATACATCTGTTGCCGGCCTGAATCCTGTTGTTTATTTCTTGTGATCCGTTATTGTCTTCAGTTATTGTTGTTCCAAGATACTTGAATTCTCTAACGCGCTCAAAGTTAAAGTCATCGATGGTAATGTTCTGACCGATTCTGTCTCTGCTTTGGTTATTGCGGCTCATATACATATATTTCGTCTTGTTTTCGTTGATTTGGAGCCCCATCTTCTCTGCTTCCTTCTCAAACCTTACGAAAGTCTCCTTCATCCTTAATCTCGCGTGTTTCCTATTAGATCTATATCGTCTGCAAATGCCAGTAGTAAGTTTGGTCCTTCTCGATGAAATACTGTATTCGGTTTTTCGATTCTTGCACTTCTAATTATGTGCTCCAAAGCTAAGTTGAAGAGTTGTGGTGAAAGTGCATCTCCCTGTTTTAGTCCATTGTTTATTTCAAATGTCTCCGAGTATTGTTGTCCAACTCTCACCTTACATCGTAACCGTTCCATACACATCCGTATCAACCGGACTAGTTTTTTTGGAAAGCCAAGTTCCTGCATCGCTGTCCACAGTCTGTCCCTACATACTCTATCAAATACTTGTTTAAAATCTATGAACATCTGATGAAGCTCACGATCAAACTCCCAGCATTTTTCCATTATCTGTTTTATTGTGAATATCTGGTCAATTGTAGAGTGGCCCGGTCTAAATCCGCATTGATAATCTCCAATGATTTCTTCTGTGTATGTTTTGGTTCTTTCTAGCAGGATGTTTGCAAGGATTTTGTAGGTGGTGTTTAGGAGTGTTATTCCCCTGTAGTTAATACATTGCTTTTTGTTTCCTTTTTTGTGTATTGGTACAATAACCCCTTCTTTCCATTCATTTGGCATTGTTTTTTCTTGCCAAATGTCTTGAATTAGCTTGTATATCGAACTGTACAACGCTTCTCCTCCATGTTTTAAGCACTCTGCGGGTATACCATCGCTACCTGGTGTCTTATTATTTTTGAGTTTTTTAATTGCCTGTATTACTTCTTCGTATGTCGGGTATTGGTCTTTTATTTCAGCTGTATGTACCTCTATGTTTGATGTACTTCTGCTAGATTGGTCATTCAATAGTTGATAGAAGTATTCCTTCCAGGTTTTTAAGCTTTCCTTGTCATCGGTGATAAGCTGTCCACTGTCGTTTTGGAGAAAGTTTCCTGTTCTTGCTTGGTACCCGGTCTTGATATCTGAAACTCCTTTAAAGAACTGCCTCGCTTGTTTGTTCTTTCTTTTTTCTTCTATATCTCTGATTATTTGTTCCTGATACTCCCTCTTCTTCCTTTTCATTAGTTTTCTTGTCTCTGTTCTTCTTTGTCTATACATTTCATTGTTGTGCGAGGGGTTTTGTAGCATGTTCCTTCT